TGTAAAAAAAAAAAAAAAACTTCAAACAAAAAACAAAAACCAAATACCATAAATTGTTATTGTTGTTTTGATTATTATGTGGATGAAGAAATGCTTCATTCTTATTGTTGTAATATATTTTAATGTAAATATATGATAAATAGATACATGTCATTATTTTGTTATTTTTGTCACATAGGTATTGGTTTTACCTCTTGTGAGTGAACTTTTGTGTATGGTTTTGTTTCGGCGCCACCACAGAGCATCATTTAGAGCATCGTGCCTTAATGTTTGAGTGTCTCTGTTGATTTGAAGTCCGAGCATCAGGACCTTTACGTTATAAGAGAGACAGTCCTTGGACATTACAATGTGGTACAGTGCTTTTGACTAACTTGTATAGTGTTAAAGAGTGTTAAAAGCAACGTAACGCAGGTGTTATATGCAAAACACACAATGATCTTGTTGTACTTACAATTCATTATTTTCATACTGTGTTGCTTTGGGAAATTTGTGCTACATATTTGCTTGGAAAAGCAATTTTACTAAAATGTTGATAGTTGATTTGACTTGCTGAAGACCTCGGAAGTGGCTTTTTAAAAATGTAGAACTATCTCACCCAGTGATACCACTTCCTGTTCACCCCACCATCACGCCCCATCATACTTAAAACCCTGGTAATAGATCACAATCTCCAATACTCAGGCGATTGCTATAATCGACAGTTTATTTCAAAATTCATAAAAAAAATGCAGCTAAAGTCATTTAAAATATCTAATTACGTTATCATTAAGACCATCACCTGGTTAACAAAATATACATGTGAATGTAAATGTTGTTTTCATAAATACAGTGTCATGTTTTCGACTTATTTGATACTCTGACTTCCTCTTGTTATTTTAATAATATCATGATTATGTTTCAGAGAATAATGTTCAGATTACTCTTCAGTGTTGGGATCCTTCTTCAAGGGTATGATTGAGATGTGAAATGCAGGAATGACAAAGGAACCGAGGTGGACTGGTTGGTGGAAACGTAAATATACTGCTCAGTCTCAGATGAATATATAATAGATACTATATATATATACATAATAGTAACAGTAAGTTTATTTGTTTCTCCACTACAAACTCCAGGTATTTATCTCTGTATCATAAAGTATGTTTTATACCGAACGAAGGATGATGGTTAGTCGTATCTGTACTTGAGTGAGTGCACCAACAGGTGGGAATGCAGCGAAGAGAAAACCAACAGTGAATGAAAAAGTGGTGTGTGGCGCCTGATGGTGGCTGGAGGTTGACATGAACAGTCAAAAGAGTCAGGCGAAAAAGTAATTGCAAAGTCTTTAGTGACTTTGCAATTACTCTGGCTTTCAATGCTACAGTCAAATGGTATAAACCATGTCTTCACAGAACTAATAACAAATAAAGTTGCTCTACCAAACCACAGCCGCAAGTTCCCAACAAATGCAAGTGCAAAAAAACGTTTTGGTGATTGTTAAACCTTGTCTTTAGATATCAATATAATATTTTTATGCCGCCAATAACCATAACAATACATCTATTATATAATGACAATGTGTATTGTCAGAGTCATAGTGATTGACCTACAGAAATTATCGGTCCTCAGCTCGCCTCGCCAATAGATCTTCCTTAATATTACTGACTGAACTGCATATTTTTTATTTTATTAATCTTTATTGTGTTTTTTTGCACTACATTTCCCCTGTGCTGCTGTGTCAAACTTGAATTTCACCCACAGAAGGGATCAATAAAGGAACATCTGATCTCTGACCTTTCAAGGCAAGCCAAGAGAAACCTTGCCTCTCCAGCAGATGAATGTGAAGAAGCCTTTTAGTACAAACTCTACAACCATTAAAGAGAAGTAACACTGAGCAAAAAGCATTTTTATATCAACAATTTAATCTCTCCATTTAAATCCAACCCATTTCCTGAAGCTGTGTTTCAGTTACAGTTAAATTAAAAGACAGAGAGGCGCTCTTTCTCCTCCTCACCACTAGGTGTCCCCCCACACACATTTTCCCTCCACGACCACGTCCACTCTGTCACTTCCGGTTGTGAACGCAGCGAGCTCAACACGCACGTGAGAGCAGAATCAGCCAAAACAGACCGCTGTCACACAAAATGGACATCACAGAGGTCCCCGTGAGTCAGGACAGCACAGGTAAGAAGAAGAAGAACAAGAAACCGAAAAAGAAGAGTCCGGAGGGGAATGCGGAAGGCAGCGGGGTTGAGAAAGAGGAGGAGAAGATGGAGAAGAGCGAGCCAGGAGCAGCTGCCTTTCCCCCCACCTTCAGTGTGTCCGAGATCAAGAACAAACAGCGGAGACACCTCATGTTCATGAAATTCAAGCAGGAGAAAAGAAAGGTAAAGATAAAGATGATAAATATAGCAGGTAAAGCTGTGGTTAATGCAGTCTGATACACTGTAATAAACCCCCCAATGTAGGTTGTTAAGTTCAGGTCTGGAGAGGAGAGGAGAGGAGGAGGGGGGGAGAGAGGGGGAGAGGAGGTGTTTGTGGTGCTGTGGAGCTGCTCTGTCTTATACTGAGTGTTTGTAATAATATTTAGTGTGTAAGGTTACATTTACTCAAGTACTGTACCAGTCTTTGTGATACTTCACTTGAGGACTTCAATTTTAAGTTATTTTAAACGTCTACTGCACCACATTTCAGAGGGAAATACTGTACATCTTACTCTATATTACACAATATTTACAGAAAAAGCCATAGCCATTGGTCACTTTGCAGATTTATTACGTGCAATATATATGATCCACCTGTCTGTCAGTATTTATCTGAGCCCAAAGGTGACATATTCACATTGCTTGGTGTGTTCAGCCAACAGTTTAAAGCCCAGCGGTGCTCATTAATACAATTATATAACAATAAGATAACCACAAAGTGTTTATATTTAAAAAGCTGGAACAAAAATCTAAAATAATATTTTGGATTTTCACATTGGATTTTTATCAGTGTGTAATCCCCTGAAAATAAGATTAATTCTGTTTTGTAATAAATGTGTTAGCCTTAGAATGAGACTATTATATCTACAGGTGCCGCCGGTAAAACACAAGACAACTTCTTCCACCACTGACCTTTATAATACATGGGGTATAACTACAGACTTCATGAACACAGGACTTGTTGCGTGGTGCACTAATACATTAAAAACTGAGTGTAACGTGTATAGACCTTTTCCTGAATTATTGATTAAACATTTACTGTATAACGTCTTCCACAAGTTAGCAGCACTCAAACGGATGTCTTAAACCTAAACATAGAGCAAGCAACCCTTCTAATACTTGTTAACTTGTGACCAGAAAAAGTTAACTTGTGTGTGTATTTGTTAGAATCCCCAGAGCACCACCAGTCTTCCCGGGGTCCACATTTAAAAACATTAGTCGAAATAAACACGAACAGTCAACACAAATGACAAACATCAAAAATAAAATAAAAGGTTTTGTACTTTTACTTTATTCATCACTGCTTATGTGGACACATTTCTGACTAAAGAGGGATTCATTGATCAGTTCATCAACTTTCGGCGCTACAGTGTAATATAAGTGTTCATATTTGATCTGTCTTCATATTTCAGCAAAAGATGCAGCTTAAAAAAAAGAAGAAAAAAGAAAGGGAAGCTTTAGGTGACAAGGTGAGTTTGGTTTCTCCGTTTCCTGCTACATTTTATTATGTGACCTCTTAGAAAGATGTATTTTCCAATAAACATGCATTCATTTTGTGCATCCATTCTTCCATTTATTCTGTTCCTAATGTAGGCCCCACCAAAAGAGGTGCCAAAGACGATAGAAAACCAGAGGGTGTTTGACGAGACAATGGTTGACCCAGAAGATGAAGAGGTACGGACCAAGTTTCAGACGATCTCAGATTATATTTGTAACGAATTTGCATTAATTTGTGTGTTTTCCTGCCATCAACAGGTTGCATTTGACGAGGGAACCGATGAGTTCTCTGCCTACTTCAACGGGCTGACAAACCCCAAAGTGCTCATCACAACCTCAGACAGACCAAGAGGGGTGAGCAGGCTGCTGATTGAGCATAACACGTTTATTACTTTTCTTCATCATTCTCATTGAGGTTGCCACAATCTGTCACCTTAATATCAACCGGTCTGTTCCGAGCATTGATCGTTCTCCGGTGTTTGTCTTGTAGAGGACTGTGAAGTTTTGTGAGCAGCTGGCCACAGTAATCCCAAACGCCCACGTGTACTACAGAAGAGGTTTGGCCCTGAAGAGGGTCATTCCTCAGTGCGTCGCCAGGAACTTCACCTACCTCATGGTCATCAACGAGGATCGCAAAATGCCCAGTATCCTTTTAAAGGCAGCCTTGTCAGGGGGGGGTGATACATAATGCTCTATGCGGCTTTCTGTTTGAATAATCAGTGAGACCTGTGTTTAATTAAATCTTTTTACTGAACTTTGAATGTCACCAACTTCAGAGACTGCTTTTATTAGACGACTCAGTAATGAATGTCAAAGTTGCAAAAACGTAACTAACTTCATGGAGCTACAATGGCAAATTCTGAGTAGGTTAGCTGTTTTTAATGTCTGCTCCCTTAACCGTGACTTTAAGATGGTATGGTTCTGTGTCACCTACCTGACGGGCCGACTGCACACTTCAAGATCAGCAGTGTTCGACTACGTAAGGAGATGAAGGCAAGTACATCAGTCCAAGCTTTCCTCCCCCATCTCTGTTCTGATTAAATGGGAAATACGTACTACTATGACAGTAATGGTTATCTATGTGGCTTTTTTACTCTTGAATAAAAAGCATGACAACAGACATCATTTTATCTATGAAGCTGTGTGATCCAATCATAATTGTACTATGTTTTCCCTGCAGAGACGAGGCAAAGATCCAACTGAACACTCTCCAGAGGTGATCCTCAATAACTTCAGCACGCGTCTGGGCCACAGCATCGGCCGGCTGTTCGCCGCTCTCTTCCCGCAAGACCCCCAGTTTGTGGGTCGACAGGTCGCCACCTTCCACAACCAGAGAGACTTCGTCTTTTTCAGATTCCACAGGTGAGTCTTAACTGTGACTCGAGCTGGACGTGATGTCCTGTGATTATAACCCTCACTCCCAAGTGTTCAAGGAAGATTGTTGAAATTAGAATGTATTATTTATTTCAAGATACATCTTCAAGAATGAGAAGAAAGTTGGGATTCAAGAGCTGGGACCTCGCTTCACCCTCAAACTCCGCTCCCTACAGAAAGGCACCTTTGATTCAAAGTTTGGGGAGTACGAGTGGGTCCTGAAGGTGAGTCTCTTAAAACTTGAACTTTTCTTTGAGACACCAGAAGAGCTGTGAAAAAACTAATTAGGGATGCCTGATGATATCTGCACATATGGAGAAAGGGGAGGGAGTTTCAGTCTGCTACCGATAGAGGCCACTAAATCCTACACAGTGGACCTATGATGTATCCGCCTCTGCAATTAACCAAAATGAGCTAGAAAAATATCAGATATGGGCAAATTCCAATATCGTGCATCCCTATAACTAACGGCTTTATTGTCAGCACTTGCACAGTGTATCATACAGTGTATGTTTCATGTGGTCGACCTCTTTGCTGCCCTTCATAAATGATCGCAGAGCACTTCAGCAACATGTAAAAAGTACTTTTATGTCGCAGGTTTTTCTTGTAAAACTAAAAAAAAAATACACTTTCTGTTTCCAGCGCCATGAGATGGATGCCTGCAGGCGGAAGTTCCAGCTTTGAGCGCAGAATATCAACCAGCCTTTGTGGTCAAGACAAGGACCACGTTGTCTATTGTCCAAGATATTACTGCTGTTTGTGGCTTTGCACAAACAGACTTTTATTGTGGATATCCAGATTCTTTGTGGACGACCAGTGGCAACACTTGTCCCGTCAACACCGATGACGGGATTTTATGAGATAACGCTGCTGTGGATCGGACACACTCACCCTGAAAATGACTTCTGTTTTCTGGAGACCAAGTGTGGGACATTACCCCCTCTGTTAGTCGGGAGAAATGCAGGCCCTCCACATGAATCCCGATAACCTGAAAATTCTGACCTGCGAGTGTATGTGAAAGTTGTCATTGTGAGCCTGCCCTGGTCAGTCATGCATGCAGACATACATCTGTATAATCCTGGTCTGTGCAAATTATATAAGGCAAAGTGCAACAGTGGCCAGTGTCTGGAAATGGGTAGGTGCTTATATCTGTCTACAGTGCAGCTGCTTTTGTATGCGACAGGACTTTAAAAATAACTATGGATTGAACACTTTTCAGATTTCTAAATGTGTATACTCCTTTTTAATAAAACATGTTGCTGCACGTTCAAAATGTGGAAATACCATTTATTTATTCTCAAAATCAGGAATGAAAAATGTACAATTCAAAAGGCACGTGTGTGTTGATATGGGTTAGTTACTTCTAAGCAAGAAGGTTTAAGACATTTATCGTGCCACGTGAGCACCTGGAAATGTTTGTGTGAATTTTTACAAAGGCAAAAGTAAAAAAAAAAAAACTAAAAATAATAAACTGTTAAGTTAGTTGCTTGTCCATAAATTCCAAAGACTCCTGAGACGATTCCAGTCCACAGCGCAGGTCCTGCAGCCAACTTCCACAAGGCACCACAAAGTCCAAACCCTGCAGACGTGTTACAGGAATTAGTTGTTACTCAAAAGTTACTGCAGCACTGTACACGTCATCCATCAAAGTTTATGACCTCTTAGTCATCTGAGAGTTTCCTCGAGACTTTTCCAGGTACTGCAGACAATGTGGCTGTGAACGGGAGCAAGGATGCTGGGAGTTTTACTTTAATCCAATACCAATATCAGGTATGGATAAACATGGTACTAGTACGAAAGCAGGTGCAAATCAGGTTAAACTTGATGTTTGTAATCTGTTGTTTGAGAGTTTTGCCTAGAAAAAAAAAAACTGGCTTTCCACCTTTTTAAGATGGCAAAATATTAATATCATCAGGAGATCCACCTTTAAAAGTTCATATTATGCAGTCCAGCATTGTTGCATCCATATAACTATATTTTTTACTTTAGGTAAGATCTAAAAGTTTCCAGATATGTCAGGCTGAATTCCAGCGAAATGTGTATAAAATGATGCACTATGTCTTCAGAACATTTCCAAATACTACAAATTTGAATGTGGAAAATAACAAGTTACTCTTAATTTAGGGAGAGAATTAAAAGTTTTAGGGGTTACATCGGACCTTACATATTGGTGCATTATTATAGTGGTCCTCTATGCCAGTGGTTCCAAACCTAGGGGTCGGGACCCCGATTAGGGGTTGCCAAAGTGTCACGCAAGGTCTTCTTGATTTTAATGGGTTTGAGAAAATGAAATAAAAATAAAAATCACTTTAGGCCTAAATCTCAGCGTTTCCTTCATTTCTGTAAAGACGACTAAATGAAATTGTTATTTTTAACAATCTGAACACAAGCTTATTATTATTATTCACAGACACTTTATGCTGTCATTTGATTTGAAAAAGTACATGATAAAGTAATATATAATAAATGTTCCTAAAAACATCAGGAAAGCTGATCTCTGATGCAATATTCTTAGGAAATAATCTGCTCAAAATACATCCAAATTGCTGGTTTTACACAGATTATGTCCCATAGTCAGTTTACTCAGTGACAGTAAAAGGGGTCTCTTAAGGAGAAAGGTTGGGGTCCACTGCTCTGTACAGTGACTCCTGTCAGAATCGATGGATGTGATTGGTAAAAAAAAAAAAAAAGGGGTGTGAAACCGGTGTCCGAGATGAAAATGGCCGTAATGACGGATAACGGGAATATCTGCGGTGGTACTCACAGAGAGAGAGAGGGGTCGGTCGGTCGGTCGGTGGGTCGGTGCTATAGGAAGGAGCAGACTTTCTGCGGTCTGAACGGGTTGTTGCTGGAGGACATGCCGGTGAGCAGAGGGTCCTGCTGGGCGTTCTGGAGGCAAAACTGCTGCAGGTCCGCTGCGGCCTGGGACACCTGTGGGAGGAGGAGGAGGAGGGAGGGAGGGGAAGTTAAAGAAAAGTCAGCTACCTGTCGCTTTACTAGCTGTTCTTTGACATAAACGAAGAGCGGGGGACACCGTCGGCGCTTAAAGAGAAAAAGAAACACTGGCAACAAACGAACAACACCCGTCCGGAGTTAACGTAACTCATAGTAACTTAACGCAGCGACCGTTACCTTCACTCTGTTTAAGCCGGCTTCGAGGCGTAGCTGTTGGACGATTTTCTTCATCGCTGCGATGCTGGATGATCCCGACATTGTTAGGGATTTGAGGGGACTGTAGTCTTGAATTACGACGAGTATAAAACTTTTTTTATTTTTTATAAAGAACTGGCTGTTGGGAGCTAGCTCGCTAACTTCTTCCTCATCACCGAGTTTCCGGTTTTTCTTTAAAGGAGTGTCCGCCGGTGCTGCCTTCACTGGATGTTCGTAAACTCCACATTGTATTTCGGACTAGTTCCCTCTAAAGTTATTCCAGTTGGGAATTGCACCAACATGTACATGAGAGTGAAAGTAGCTCCTTTTTAGTTGAAACTTATGAATTATTTACGCTCTGAGTTCATAGCAACGGCAGGTAAATGCATAGTATTTCACATTATTTGTGCTTTGGTTAATTTGTTAGCAAAAACCCGTCTTATACCCCAACTTTTACGTCGATTGTTTACGTGGTTTATATTTTCTGATCGATCTAAATCCAGCATCCCAAACAAGACTGAGATTTGAGGGCGTAAATACACATTTTCTTCTTAAATTAAGTAATTAACGACAATTCACAGTGTACACGAAAGCAGCATCAGATCAATACAATTTGCGCCCTCTAGTTGTGAAATACGTCATCACACTGGACACGATCACCAGTCGTACAAGAAAAACTCGACGTTATCAATACAATGTGTGATTTTTGTGAAATAACTTAATTTTTTCAATACAAAGTAGGCAAATAAGCCACGAAACAATATAAAATGAACCATATCACGTGTCGCATTGATTTACTAAAACTAACTAACGAACAGTTCCCTCAGTTTAGATTATACTTAAACGCAAGAATAATGTAAAATAAAATCCAATAATTAATCCCGGACAGTTTCAGCTCTGGTGACGGCAGATTGGATACGTTGTTTTTTTTCCCCCTGCAGCAGTTGTCATCATCAGCACCAGAGCAACCACTGCTGGCACTCTCATAAAAGAAACTCCACTGGGCGATTGACTGTGTTTCATTGCACCGGATTGTTACTTGGCAGTCCACGCCTCCACAGGGCAAGAAAAAAAAAACCACAGGCTTCCTGCAGATAAACCTAACGGAAATCTACCCTCTGTTAGAGTCTCTGTGCTGCTCCTTCTGATGAGCTGGACTGATCATGGAGCTGTCTTGTGAGTCAGTGAGATACCCTGAGGACCGGAGACCGGCCAGTTGCAAGGTATGTTGAGTGCATCATTGCAAAAGGATCATTTTATTGTGAACTAAACATGAGTTATTTATAAAGCAATATGCTCACTGAAAGGTGATTTTATCCGTGTTTTCTATGTGTTTAGTTTGTGGAGCTCCATGTGCTGTATGTGCCAGATGACCAGTGGGATGTGAAGCTCAATAAAGTCCCTGCTGAAGCCATAGAGAGCTTCATATCTGCCGGCTTCATCAGGTGAAACTGCTGGAAATGTTCATGTTGTAAAGCGATATTTTAAAAGACATGCAGATCTCAGCCATGTTGCATTGATTTGGGAGTTATGTTATCAGGTAATTCACTTGTATAAAGTATTCAAATTCCTCCTCTTAAGTTAAAATGCCATACTGCATTCCAAAAAATAAAGCTTAAACTTTTTCATTTCATTTTAAGTAAAAGTAGATTACTAATAAAATCAACTCTCTTAGTGTTAAATTCTTGTTGCAACATGTAAGGAGTATACTGGTGTAGCTGGTCAAGGTGGTGTGATGTACTGTTGGACTGTTGCATCTATAAAAAAGCATCATATGAACATGTTCTATGTTTAACATGTACAGTCTTAATCTGCAAACACAAGTTAAAAGCTTTTTTCTGGGCTGAAAGTAAAGTCACACAGTAAGTGTCAGTATTTAAAGTGTTCAAAGTACAGTATGGATGTGAGTAAATTAACTTTATGATATGATAATGGTGTTTAAACTGAAGCCCTTGAAAGCTGATATTTATTTTTTATTTATTCTAGCAAATACTAAACTTTAAAAACTCTGGTTTGTATTCACAGCGTTTAGACTGTAACAGGCAACTAAAATGCCCTAAATTCCAGACTACAAACTGTTTTATATTCATATTTATGATCATATGTCCTGTTACAGTTCAGTAATCTACAAATCTCTTATTTCACCACTGTGATGTCAGGGTTTATCCAGATATCACCCTGAAAACTCTGAGGAGCGAGCTTGGAGCTCTTCTTGGCGCCGAGAGGGGCATCGACAAATTCTCCTTCCTGAAATGTGTGGGCCGCAGTTTGGCACTGGTGAGTGCCGATTGGCTGTTTACTGTGGTTTTCCATAGCTGGTTGTGTTTCACCGGGCAGACAGTAGAAAGAAACAATGCAGACGGTTTGATTAACAAGTTCACTATTCATGCTGCAAAGGGTGTGAGAGAGTGAGCACACAGTTTTTACTGCCTCTTACAACAACCAAACTCTTTCCTGTTCCAGGTGAAGAGCAAACAGGAGAGGGATCTGAAAGTGAAAACATTCGCTCCACCGTATGTATGTAGAATCCATGTTTGCACCTGAAGCTGGTTATTTTTTCTTTCTTTGGCACCGTTTCCTACATCACTGATTTAAAAAACACCAGGCTGATGTCAGTTTCAAAAGATATGAAATATGAAAATTTCTCACATTTTTTGTGAGATTTTTCCTTTTTTGTTTCAGAATTTCAAAATAAACTAAATGTCTAATATCCCCGATACACTCTTGTGCTCCCAGTCACAGCAGGTGGATTACAAATATGTTGTTGCCATGTGTCATCTACATATGTGACTATTAGCTTTAAATTTTGTCAAGTCATCAACATTGCACATTTTGTCCCTTTTTTAATTTGTTATAAATATCAGTGATTTACTGTATATACTGTCTAGTCTGGTCTAATTTGTTTCTTAGCTGTCACTCTGCATTATCTGTGATCTTCAGGTGTCAATAATGCTTAGTCATTATGTTCCAATTAAGCTCCACCAACCTGTCTGCAGGCCCCACAGCCAGAGCTTTACCTGCTGCCCACTGTGGAGAGCGACAGCAGTGTTTGCTCCCAGTCTCTCACCACAGACACCAGCAGCAGCTCCCCAGACCACCAGACCTATTACCAGCCTCCCAAGACGTGCAGCCTGCCAGCAGGAACAAAGAAGCCTGTTAAATTCCCCCTCATTCCCCAGTGTTCCCATCAGCCACCTCCCACCCCGAGCCTGGAAGAGGAAGAGGAGGAAGACGAGGAGCAGAGTTATAGTTCTTCAGAGACAGAAGGAGAAAATGAAGAGGAGGGTCTTTCTTCCAACAAGTTAGAGTGGGCGGAGAAGGAATGCTGCCCAAGGAAGCCTCAGAGTCAGAGGGCACCGCAGCCTGTTTCACACAATAAAGGTAAAATTAACAACAGTAAATATCTTTTGCTCTGCAACTAAGAATGCATTATGCACTCTAGTTGTACACATTTTCAACCTTTACTTCCTGTCGCCTATCTCTCCCATTTTTGCTGTCTTGTGGTAAAAGTCTTGTGTATCATGCTACAAAATATCCTCATCTTTGTGTTCATTTTAATGTGAAAAAGGAACTTTAATGTAGCTTTGAAAATGAGACATCTGCATTTTATAATATGGTTAACCTGGCACGTTTGGCATTGGTGAAAAAAGGCGTGTACTTCTCTGTACTGAGCTCTTCTGTTGCTTTATATCTACAGCTTTACAGAGGCGGGAAGCTGATTCAGCTCAGGTGAAAGAGTTGGCAGAGAGAGAAGAAACCTGCAGGAAGGAGAAACAGCACCACAGACAGAACAGAGCGGCCAGAGACTCAGGAGTAGCACCGTCTCTGGAGGACAGAGATTCGGGTTTCTCCTTCACAGATGGGTACTGAGCAGCATTACTGAGTGACACAGTTGTACTCTGCAGCAAATACTAGTACTACTACTGCTGGTTGTTCCAACGGTGTGTCTGTTTGCAGGCTCGTGAAATCAAAAGATGCACTCAAGTCCATCAGGAATAAACCAAGAGTAAGTGGAGTCATTTATAGCCTTACATATGTGCCATACAGAGGTCTCAGCATGTCTTCTTCACTCTTTCCTACCTTGAAAATTGTTTGGTGATTATCCAAATTCCACTCCCAGCAGGTGGGTCTAGTGGAGTGTATGAGGTCTATGAAATTAACGCAGAGCTGGAGTACAGAGAACTGCATAAAAGTCCATTCAGATGAAGACTCATGTCATAATTATTGCACGTTTTAAGGTGACAGAAAGTCCAACGATGTTGTCTCGGCCTGTTCGGTGCTCCTCTCCACCTCCAGGTCTGCACTTGGCCAGGGTCACTCAAAAAACGGCTGCCTCTCCCATCTTTCAGACAAACAGTAAGCCACACTTTGGCTACATACCAACAATGAATGATTTTTCTTTGTTTTAGCACCACTGACACAGGTTGTTTCTGTTAGGAGAGGAACTGATTGAGGAAATCAAGCTGGTCAGGGAGGAGAGAAAGCAGCTGGAGTGGACGAGGCAAGAGCTGCTAAGAAAGGGGAAAGATTTGTTGGCTCAAAACAGACACCGCAGGAACCAAGGTGAGCAAAAGAAAAATCTAACATTTTATAAGGAATTATTGCAAGTTCTCAAGTTTGCCAGCAGTTTGCGAGCCCAAGAATAATCAACATATTTGTTCCGCCTGTGCTTTGACAAACCTGTAACATATCAGTGTTTTAATTGCAGTTGTTAAGTTAAAGATAAAAAAGCAAACATGCACTAACTATATTTCTGGATAGCTCGTGACAGTTGGAAAAAGAAATATTTTGAAACCAAGAAGGCCACAGCCCCATTGGAGGAAAATCTGAGAAACTTACGGCAAGAGTTGGAGACATTTTACAACAAACTCTTGCACCAGCTCCAGGCCAGAGATAACAGAGGGAAGCCAAGACGACAGGGCAGATCTTCCATAAAGGTAAAAATCTAGTTTATCTTGATTTTTATAAACTGTACTGTCATGTATGCCTAATAATCCAAGTATTTGGATGAATAATTTCTCACAAGATCCCTTAATTATATTCTTTAGTAGTTTAAGTCAAAATATTTATATTTATATTATTTATATTTAGAAATGTCCATATACTTTTTTCACAGCCTGTAATTTGACTGGTAGCACAATCAGGTTTATAAGTAATTAATATCATGCCAAATTCCATTTTAATGTCATAGTGAGCCAGAAAGCATAATGGCAAAGATAAGGAAGTGAAACACCTGGGCTTTTGCTGCTATGACATGTCAGCAATGTCTTCTGTGAAAAAGGTCTATTGAAGAATTTAATAGGACACACATTGGGGGGACCGCGTCTGGCAAAGTATTTTGTTTTTCTTTTCAAACTATAAAAGTCATTTGATCTAATCACTGAAAGAAAGATGCATGAATTTCAGAATGAGCTCATCATTCAGATCATGACAGAGAGTCATGAGATTGACAACCTGAAGAGGAAGGTAGAGGATGCCAAGATGAAGCTGGTAACGGAGATAAAGGTAACTGATTTGAATCTCTCCAACTGTTTCTATAACCTCTGGTAACTATATTTAAAAAGAGTAAGTTAGTTCACTTGTTGGTCAAGAGACATATTGGAAAAATGTATAAAGTTTGTGTCCCTTTTCAATAACAAATATTGGTATGTGTTTATGGTACAAACATACACTAGAAAGTGCTATTGTTCCATAAAGATCTACATAGTGTGGTAAGGACACACATCATTGCTAGTGATGGGCTACAGAGCCAATCGAGATAAGCTATTTGAGCAGTAAATATTTATTTGTTTCAATTAAACCCTATAGCCACTGTACTTGCTACCTGTCATTTTATATAGTCAGATGACTTCTTAATGAGATATTGACAAATGATCAACCCTGTAATATTGACCTGACAGCCTAAAAACGCTCCAAATTTTCATCATTACTTTTTATGTTTATCGAGCTTCTTTGTTCAGGCATAGTGGCCTAATAGCTGGTGTGCTATCTGGTATAATATATTAACAAACTGTATTGTTTCTGTTTTTTTATGACTGTGCTGTATAGTTGAGGAAACAGGCTGCCACAGAGCTGAGGGCCCTGAAGGCTGAGCTGGCCCAGAAGAAGAGCCAGTCCTCTCATCCTGCTCCCACGGTCACTCTTGGCTTTGGAAATACCACACAGGATAGATCACAAGTTCAAAGCACCTCCATCTAATTCAGTTCATACAGGAACAAGACTGTTGTCTGGGCTCAACTCTGCTGGGACGGAAGGATTTTGTTTCTACATGACTTATTATTTTGTAACTAAGTTTTGTATTTTTTGCTGTTGCATTTTATTATTACTTTATATGCTGTTCGGTGTGGTCTCATTTCTTTGCAATGTTGATACTGTTGATTCCTCAGGTGCTGTAAGCGAGTTACTAAAGAAAGAAAGCTAAAACGTTTAAGTGGTTATGTAACTTGATTTATAGATTCCTCAGAAGAAGTTTTATTTTTGAAAAAGATAAAGTGCACAGATCTCAGTAAGCTTAATATTGGTCAATCAAAAATACTCTGTTTGCATACATCACATTAAAAATATTGTTTGTTTTTTTTCAGGTAGCACAGAGGAATGTCTGAGATGTAGATTCATTCAAAGACAACAGCAATAAAAGCCACAACAAACTCTGAAGTGCAAGTATGCAACCCTGAACTCAGAGAAAAGTCACACCCCATTACTGTTACAAAGGGATATATTGACTTAGCAATAAACAGTGGGTTCAGGGGTGATGTAAATTTCTGCAGCAGTGTTAGGTGTATCCCAGCTAGCATCCTAAGAGTGCATTCCACATCATGGCGGTCTGCTGCCTGGCAACCGGTTCATCGCTGTAGTCCAAGATGTTGCCATTCCACATGCCAATGCCCCTCAAACCTTTAGATTGCACCCAGTCTGCCTTGGGACAAATGCTTTGTGGGTCATCATACCAAACCTGGTGAATCTGCCCTTTCTGGTCCTGTGGGGAAAGAAAGACAAATAAAAGACAAAATGAGAACTGATGATGGCACCATTTTAGACCCACGGAGATAAAGGCATTCAGCAAGAATGATTTATTGCAATTTTCTTTGTTTGGGAAGTGACACTGTGGTAGCTCGGGTGGACGCCGGCACTCTAGTTAAACAGCACTTGCCTGAAATGCCTGTATGATAAATTACATACGATAGTCGAGCTTAAACTCGGCAGAAAGACAAATAATCCATTAAACAGGCGCCCACTTTACTACATCTTAACCACACATCTTTGTATGTTTTTAAGAAAATTAATACAGAGTTAAGACAAACTATAAAATAGATACAATGTACCTTGTAATTGAAGTAAGGGGCCTGCTGCTTGTTGTCCCAGAGCCTGCCAGACATTGACATGTTGAGCTGCTTCATGATCCACTTGTATGGTTTCTGTCTTCCGGCCGCATCGCTGCAGGGGGCTCCACGGAAAGGAACTTTGGCTATAGAACATATTCCGTCCTGGCAGTGGAAAAAAAAGAAGGGATATATCATATGTGTTTATATTTCAGACAGAATAACCTATGATATAATGCAACAATAAAATAAAAATAATAAATAGCAGTAGCATGCTTTGCCTTTAACAACATTATCTGGGGTGGGAGAACTATCCTGATCATGAATGACACCTGGATAAAGCTTTATAATTTCTATATTCTAATTGTATCGTAATCCATTATTTAAAGTAAGGTATAGCAATCTAAGGTGCTTTACATAATACATTAAACCGTTTCTTATTGTTAAGAAATCCCATAAACCTACACAATGCCTTAGTCCATCTGTCTACTTTCTGACTTCCCAACCCTCTCTGTAGCTCTCAGCCACTTGTTTCTACCAAAGGAATTAACTGGGAAATGTAAATTACATAATCATTTGTTGGGGACTATTTTGAGCTGCGAATTAATACACATTTAGTGGCTCCAATGAAGTAATTTGCAATGGTGGGAAATTACAGTGCCCACATTCATCGTAATGAAAAAAGGGGGAAAAAAAAAAACATGGAAACCCCCGCGCCAGTGCAACAGTGTGGATTCCCTGATGTGTTTTTGAGCTAATTTAGTACAACAATGGAAGTCTATGGTATAGAGAAAGTAAGTAAGTAAGTAAATTAAATTTATAAAGCACATTTAAACACAGTATAAACTGACCAAAGTGCTGTACAGTGAATAACTAAAAAGACAAATAATACAGAAAAACACCTTTTTTTTGGCTGCACAGGCAGTACTTGTTAGTAATCAAATGATTGTTAGTTTTGGTCTTTTTATGGGATTAGTAATGTCATTTGTTTTTCAGGTATTCAGTCATAAACCAAAATACTGGACAATTACAATGTCTGTCCAGAAGGTGGCGCTAGATGAAAAGTTACAGGATCACCCAACAAAAATCATCCTAAAATGGACCTGAATGTGTCACATTTCACGGCAGTTGACAGTTATTAAGACATTTCACTTAAAACTACACATGTGAACCTCAATGGGGCACTAGAGGAAAAGTTACTAGGATTCATCATCTGGGCACCATGGACGTCTGTACATGATTTTATAGCAATCCATCCAGCAGTTGTTGAGAATATTACCAGACCTATTTATTAAAAAAAACACTCAACAACCAACATTTTAACTTTATAGCTTTTTAAATGAACAATATCTTACCTGGGAAAGGTTGAGGCATGGGTAGTCATAGCCGTACCATGGCAATCCCATCACCAGCTTCTTTGGATCGATCTTCATACTCAGATACTGGTCGTACGCTTAAAAAGAAAGATAACAGGCAGTTCAATGTTGTGCTGATGAGTAGCTCCGCATTAACAAGCTGGTTTATTCTCATTCACTACTAAACAACTGGACAACAAACCATTCAGTGTTTGATTGAGTGGAGCATTTGCCATTGCGATACAGTCGCCCATGATCTGGCTCTGTTCATCGTAGGACATCACGAACAGCAGGTCGCAGGATTCAGCAATGGTAACGTAATCGTAGCAGCGCTTGTCGATACATTTCGGTGACCATGCAACGTCGAATGAGACCTAGAGATCGAGATAAGATAAATATCGATGGGCTGGATTTCTTTTAAATATAACACGGAGACAAGGCAGGTGAGGGCCTATAGCACTTCATTCATTGTCCTGCCTGCCTATTTAGGGTGATGAGTTTGAGTTGGGTTTCCCAGAATTCATTAGGAAAAAGAAATAGGAATACGCCCAACCTAACCTTGTCAAAACACTGTCTTTACCTGGGAACCTGGGATCTCCCTGTGGAAGGCCTCAGTAGTCTCTTTGACCAGGTTTGTCAAAGCATAGTACTCTGGCGAGCCATCCTCCACTGCTTGCTCGATGTCGATGTTGATCCCATCCATAAATTGACTCTTGGCCAAGTTGACCTTCTCTGTTATCCACGCTGTCCTGTTTCCTTGGTCCACGATGTAGGAGAGGGGAACGTCACCTTTACCCACCAACAAGGAAAGAGAGATGGACATGATTACGAGAACAGTGGGTCGATGAACTGTTGACAGCAGGAGCTTGGCTAAAGGTTTGTAACAATAAATATTACCTACATATAGGTACTGTAACTTTGACCTTTTTCAAAACTACCGATCAAAGAAAAGACAATGGACAAACCCAATCACATCGATTCATTCTGCAGTGAGGAGAAAAACTTTGACTCTACCTTTGAGTACAACACGTGCTCCTTTGGAGTGAGCGTGACACATGAGTTCAGCATCATATTTTCCAAATGCCGCCACCGTCGTCACCGAGCTCCAGTTGTAGGACTTCCACGTCTTTCCACCGACGTCAAACACAAACACCTGAAAGAACCAGAGACCACACAGACACATGACTGTAAGATTAACCGCAATAGCAATTTTATTCATTGATAAATTCCCAAAAAGGAAACATACATGTGTATTTTCAGTCAGTCTCACTGAAGACAGTGGCTGGAACATTTCCCCATATATTGATTCTGTTTCTAATAATTCAATTAATAATTTTAGCCATATTGTTAAAAATGTGTCAGAAACATAAAATGTTCACCAAGAGCAGATTTTCTTGTAACTACAGCTTATAAATTGATATGCAAGGATTAAAACAACCAGCCAATGTTTGGTATTTATATTTGTTACTTGGCTAAAACATTTAATATCTTTCTTTATTATTTTTAAATTATCATCAAAACTTTTTACTGAAGACATGTTTGTCAAGTCACATTATCTCCTGTGAGAAGAGTCTATTGGTCAACTATAAAATATTGAACAGTGACGGATGAACAGCTACAGAGGGGATCTTTCAATTGAGTCGTACTTTGATATGTGAGTTTCGAAGCAACATGGGACATTTAACAGAAGTCCAAGAGGCCAAATGTGCCTAAAAAGGGGAACCTTCTCAAATATCCCACCACCATCCACCTCACACGGACACAGACTGCAGGGATAAAGAGGAACAGCAGTCCCAATCTGAAACTTACAACAGAAACTAGAGAAGACCAGCATACAGCTAATAGATATTAAACAGTGTGCAGTGATAATGTAGCTCCCTAACTCTTACAGACCTTTGTCATGAAACATGAATTTGAGTTTTATTTTGTTTGTTTCTAAAGTAAACACTGGAGTTCACGTGTTTGATTCATCTATGTCAACATTTTATAGCCCTCATATCATAAGATCCACTTTCACAGTCATGATCATTATTTAAGAGGTTTGTGATTTAATTGTGAAATAACCCCCAATTTCCTTTTTTGCTCAGACTTGTGTAAATATCACAGTATGAGGTAATGCTACAAATTGGTGGAAGTTTGCAAGTGGACAAACATTTCTTTAAATGCGCTACATGGTTTATTAAAGTAAAACACTTTAATGCAAGGAGTTTGTGGAGTTTGGGTGTCAACAATTACACAATGTCTGTTACATTCATCTCTAAATTTCCCTGTGAGGTCAGTGATGGACTGTTCCTACTCAGTGGACTACAGCGGGTCATTATGACATAATAAGCTGCAGTTCTGCCAGGATGAGCACTAAGTTCATGTGTGTTACAGATATTAGCTGTGTGCAGCGGGTTGTGTCCGTTTTGTTTAAAAAGCAAACTACCTCAAAGTGTCTCTCTCCGCGGATCGGCTGACAGAGCTCCGGTCTCTCGCACGGACACACGGCAGCCCTGCACACCAGGACTGTCCACGACAAAACCACAAGGAACCAGGACATGTTTTATAACAGGGGGTGCCAATTTAAATCCGAATGAAGCCCGGAAGTCGGACTTTGAACTGTCAACACAACCCGTGGTACTTCTGTACGGAGGCTGACGTGGTACAAACTTCATGCGGTTGCCGTAAAAGGCGAGGTTGTAGGGAAAATTACAGTATAAATACAAGTGTAAATGAATGAATACATAAATTCATGAAAAACAAATACATTTTGGCTAAGAAAAAGTCTATTTCTTTATTTCAACATTTATTTATAAATACTTCATCACTATCATTTTTGTCAATGGCAGATATATTAGATATATTAGATAGAGATAGAGAAATATTAATGGGGTGGCAAGAAGGGTGGCAGAAATAAATGCTGATTTAATTGCAGAAAGAAAATCACATACATCAGTATTGGCTTAGTTTTTCAAATAATTTTCAGATCTGATCATTCTGATCCAGATTGCACAAGATTGGGATTACAGAATATACATTTGCTGTCTTTGGATAAGCATTATGACTGTTGGTCAAAATAATACAGTATTTCAATCACACCGCACAACATAAATCAGTTTACACATTATTCAGATTTACTTATCTTTATTATTGTTTACATTTGTTTCAAGTTTTAGTTTTAGTTTTTTCTAGTTTCAATGTTACTTTTTCTATTATGATATGATGGGTGTTTGTCAGGGAACATCAGAATAAATTTATTAGTAAACAATATTGTTTCTGCTAGTTTAATTTTTTTCCCAAAGTCTAGATTTTATTTCAGTTAACTAAAATTATCACAGCTAGTTTTGATTATAGCTGATTATAAAAACCTTGGTCCCACCTTTCCAGTGGGATCAGGATCAGCATAAAAACCATCCTAATCTCCACCTTTTGAAATACCCCAAAACAACATTTGATCTTGATTCTGGTTAGGATTGGATTAGCAAATCCATAACCCAGTTTTGTAGAATCAGGATCACATCTCCTGCTTTGAAATCCCAATTTTGAGATTTAATTCTGATCTAAATGAAAGGTTTTAAAATACTGAGCCCAGGTATTCAAAAGGCAGGCGGAAGGTCACAACAGGCAAAACTCATGCAGGTAGGTAGACATAATGGCTGGAACGCTATTAGGCAGAAGCACAATAGATGATCTGGTGGGCAATGAATGGGAAAGGGCCAGTAGAGTATGTGCTACTGGGATGATGGGGAAGTGGGAACAGGTGGAACTTACAAAATGATGATGAGAGTTAGTACATGACCATTTCAAGTCAAGACCTCAATTATTTCCAGAAAATGTTTATTTCCCCCAAACATATGCATATTTCCAACAAACTAAATACCTATAATGCCTTTGTGGGGAGAAAAACTGGTGGTATAATTTAAAAATGTGTGAGCACTACATTGTGAGTCTGGTTTATATTTGTGTTGTCTAGTAAGCTCTTGCAGGCAGAACATACACCTTTGCATGATACAGTAATAAAAAAAAAAAATAAGGCATCATCTTCACAATGTGAATTTTGATTTGATTTACTTGATTTTGATACAATTTTATCTTCAGTTTGATGATGATGCATGAAAGTTATGCAAACATATGTTGAACTGTTGCCTTTGGAGTGTCAACAGCTCAAGTTGACAAGATGACAGGTCATGACACAGTGACATTTTCTAGAGAATTCTTAATAAAATATTATTTTAGTTTAACTCATCTGACGCTTCTTTTAGATATTGCTCTGTAGTAAAATGTATGTAGGTTCAATGTGTATATAATATTATATTTTTTGTAATATTGTAAAATAGTATAAAATAACATTGCTTTTCATCTGTTTATGTCATGTGGGAGAATTGGATTTGGATTTGGGACATTGGATTGTTTGCCAGGAAAGCCAAGAGCCAGGTTGAGATAACTTGTTACGTCCATGACATTTTTAATTTGTCTTTTACTCTGTTTGTCTAATCTGCATGTTCAGGGCATGGTAAGATTGGTGACAACTAAAGCTGATATTTAGTTAATGATACATTGCGATGTGCACACAGTCAGCAAAAACTGTAAACTATAAAAGGTGGCTTCTGGCTGCAGTCATTCACATTCATCAGCCATGAGGGTGCTTGTGCTCGCTTTCACTGTAGCCCTTGCTGGTGAGTATGTTTATGTATGTTATGCTTTATGCATTTACAACTAAATTAACTTATATTTAACTCACAATTAAATGAATTTAGCTTTTTGTAGAATTAAATAATATAGAATGATGACTACAGGGAAGAAATTCTAAACTGATATTGTGTCATAAATGCTGTTAGTTATGATAATAAAATAAGTAAAATTATGACTTTTTGAAATTTGGGAGAACTAATATTGAACTTGCTGACAGTGTAATGTTGAAAAATAGACATTTAGCACTTCAGCTTTAACTACTTGTCTTTAATATATTGGAAAAAAGATGGCATATATACACTGACTATAACATTTCCAATTTCATTAACAAATTTGTTGTGTATTTTTTCACATATGGTATCTTGTTTTTCTTTTATTAATACCAAAAAAAAATATTTATTCCTATTTTCTAGCAGCCAACCACGTCAACTTTGGTAAGCTGTCCTTCTTTCAAATTAAGAATGTAATACAATAGTTAGAAAATGTGTGAAATATAGAATAAACGTGTGTAAATATAGAAAGTATCTATTTCTCAGTCTCAAAACTGTATTAAAATACAAACTTATTCACAACTTTGTAATCTATTTCTGCAGCCCCAGAGTTTGCTGCTGGAAAGACCTACGTGTACAAATATGAGGCACTCATCATGGGCGGCCTGCCTGAGGAGGGTTTGGGACGGGCTGGAGTGAAAGTCCTTAGCAAAGTTTTGATCAGTGCAGCATCTCCCAACACCTTCATAGTGAAGGTAAGGACCCTAATATATATTATTTATGATGAATAACAAGTGAACTAGAAACAATCAAGTGTTAACAATTCATTCAAACTGTCACTCTTCACAGCTAGTAGACCCTGAAATCTTTGAGTACAGTGGCATCTGGCCCAAAGATGCTTTTGTCCCAGCCACCAAGCTCACCTCAGCCCTGGCCGCTCAGCTTTTGACACCCATCAAGTTTGAGTATACCAACGGTGTTGTCGGCAGAGTGTTTGCACCAGCTGGCATCTCTGCAACTGTTCTAAATATCTACAGAGGAATCCTCAATATCTTCCAGCTGAACATCAAGAAGACTCAGAACGTCTACGAGCTGCAAGAGGTATGAATAACTCAGTTCTATCCACAACATGGCGCTAAACTTAAACTGACAAACTCTATTTTGATTTTTGGGAATTAGCCTGGTGCTCAGGGTGTGTGCAAGACCCATTATGTCATCAGTGAGGACGCAAAGGCTGACCGCATCCTGTTGACCAAGACCAAGGACATGAACCACTGCCAGGAGAGAATCATTAAGGACATTGGTTTGGCTTACACAGAGAGATGTGTTGAGTGTGAGGCTGTAAGTCAAATTTCCTTCTCACTAAATACTTTCTAATACAATCCACTCCTGTACATGGCTGATGTGATGATGTTGTGGGTCTTGTCAATGCAGAGAGGAAAGATCCTGAAGGGAGCTGCTGCTTTTAACTACATCATGAAGCCTACAGCCACAGGTGCTCTGCTCTTGGAGGCAACTGCTACAGAGCTCATCCAGTTCTCACCTTTCAATATCTTGAATGGCGCTGCCCAGATGGAGGCAAAGTATGTGGTTTAAATGAAAAAGAAACTCTTTTCTGAGCACAAAATGTCACATTGCAGATTGATGCAGTGCTTATCTATATTCACAGGCAAATCCTGACCTTCCTGGACATTGAGAAGACCCCAGTGGTGCCCATCAGAGCTGATTATCTTCACCGTGGATCCCTGCAGTACGAGTTTGGCAGTGAGCTTCTCCAGACACCCATCCAGCTTCTGAGGATCAGCAATGCCGAGGCTCAGGTATTTCAGGAAATACTCCCTCCTAATCAGATTTTTGTTGAATTTATCCTGTAGCAACAAACTTTAACATTTTGTTTCCTGACAGATAGTTGAGGTTCTGAACCACCTAGTGACCTTCAATGCGGCCAAGGTCCATGAAGATGCCCCTCTGAAGTTCGTTGAGCTCATCCAGCTGCTGCGTGTGGCAAGATATGAGAGTATTGAGGCCCTCTGGACCCAGTTCAAAGCTAGACCAGATTACAGGTAACTGACATTTACATTCAGAAAAAGGGCCATGAAAAATGGTGCTATGGATAATATAATAATAAAATACATTTTTCTTTCCAAGGCACTGGGTCATGAATGCTGTCCCTGCCATTGGTACTCATGTTGCTCTGAGGTTCCTCAAGGAGAAGTTCCTCGCTGCTGAACTGACTATTGCTGAAGCTGCTCAAGCCCTGCTGGCATCTGTACACATGGTGACAGCTGACCTGGAGGCCATCAAGATTGCTGCGGCAAGTCAATGCTAAACATTTTCTTGAGTATCAGTAATGATGTGAGAACTGGGACACATAATCAGTTCTTTATTTTCACCATCGTCAGGACCTGGCTATGAACAACAAGATCCAAGAAAACCCAGTTCTGCGTGAGATTGTCATGCTGGGCTATGGCACCCTGGTTGCAAAATACTGTGCAGAGAACCCAACTTGCCCAGCTGAGCTTGTGAAGGTATGTAACATTTGTACTTGTGTTTTATATAACTAAAATTCAGTTTCAACATCAGTGACATTTTTTCTGTTCCTCCCACAGCCCATCCATGAACTTGCTGTCCAGGCTGCTGCTGAAGGTGAAATTGAGGAGCTCGTTATTGCTCTCAAAGTTCTGGGTAATGCTGGACATCCTGCCAGTCTTAAGACAATCATGAAGCTCCTGCCTGGCTTTGGCAGTGCTGCTGCTGGTCTGCCACTCAGAGTCCACATTGATGCTGTTCTGGCCCTGAGGAACATTGCTAAGAAGGAACCCAAGATGGTGAGACTACATTTTCAGATTCCTTCAATTACTAAGAGCGAATACAGTTAAGACGTGTTTTGTTATGCACAGTTTTATTTTTAACATTCATTTTTGTGAATTAGATCCAGGAGATAGCTGT